AGACGATCGATCAAGATCCAGAAAGACGCTTATCGGACTTTAAGCATCAGCGAACATAACTAATCACAGAAGTACTCGCCGATACTTGAAACGGATAAGTCGCTTGTTTATCCTCTCTGAATTGTGTCATCGCGAAAGATACGCAAGTAACTTACTGCTTGACATATTTTACTGGATTTGCAGTAAATTCGAATTTTTTTTATCCGACGTGAATCGCTCCGACGAGGATCCGTGAACCGTATAATGCGTTTCTTAAAACGGCAGGCATAATTTCGATGGTCGTATCCGGCCCTTCCGTTAAGCGTGTTGAATCAACGATTCGTAGAGTTAATTTATCGAAGGACTACGTCCCCTCGCGAAGGATCGACATCGCGTACTATCAAAATGTAACGAAACTATATCTATTTTCACAGCATCGTGACATCGAACTCGATTCGATTTTTTCCACTTTATGTGTCATCGAGTCATTCTTCTACAATGCAATTATTTCGACCGCGGGTCTCTTTGGAGAACAACTTGAAACGGATAAGTCGCTTGTTTATCCTCTCTGAATTGTGTCATCGCGAAAGATACGCAAGTAACCTACTGCTTGACATATTTTACTGGATTTGCCGTAAATTCGAATTTTTTTTTTATCCGACGTGAATCGCTCCGACGAGGATCCGTGAACCGTATAATGCGTTTCTTAAAACGGCAGGCATAATTTCGATGGTCGTATCCGGCCCTTCCGTTAAGCGTGTTGAATCAACGATTCGTAGAGTTAATTTATCGAAGGACTACGTCCCCTCGCGAAGGATCGACATCGCGTACTATCAAAATGTAACGAAACTATATCTATTTTCACAGCATCGTGACATCGAACTCGATTCGATTTTTTCCACTTTATGTGTCATCGAGTCATTCTTCTACAATGCAATTATTTCGACCGCGGGTCTCTTTGGAGAACATACATACTCCAAAAATATTAAATAGGATATTAATGACTAGCTTAAAATTTGAAATTTATATGCATATAATAATCTCTAATGCTAGAGATCGGGCTATGCGCGTATTCGCGATTTGTTTATAATTCGTAAATAGTATAAATGGAAGATTCGCCTAACTCAACCAATCCGATTTCTTTATACTATTCACAAATCGCGAATACGCGTATAATCTGGCGCCAGCACTGTACGCATTATCGTGTGAACGCCGCCAAAATAAGTTTCTGAAACGGAATTTTTTTTCGTTCTGAAAAAAGATGGCACATGCTTGACGCGACTGTTTCTAATAATTATAATAAACAATTCGCGGTTCGCAAATAATTTTTGTCGCATCATGGCGGTGTTCGCGAGATTCTACTAAATAGTAATTGCTATAATAATAAAGACGCTACGAACCAGGATCCATAAGCGTGTCTCGTACATCGAGGTCGAGCGGCTCGTCGTTACATCGCTATTAAATCAGTCTGTAACTCGTGGAATGCCGGAAAGAAGAGATCGTGGAATGTCGGTAAAAATGGGGTTGGGGGGATAAATCGGTGATATAACGGGAGATTGGGATCCGGTGAATGTGTATGGCAACTGAAACATTTTAATAGAAATAAAACAAACGACTTGTTTGAACCAAACACAAATCAGTTTAATCCTTAAATAAAACATAATAGTTATGTTATTTAATAATTTTAATTAAATAAATAAATAAATAGTTGGTAAGTAGTAGTAAGTGGTAAGTATAGTAGTGGTGGTAACAGCAGTAGTAGCAATGTAATAGTTATAGAGCGGGTGGTAGAAAGTGGCGACAGTAGAGCGATGTTAAAGTGAGCAAGTGAAGAGTGACTGTAAAGTATATCTTTATAGCCTCTTCTCTACAAGAATTAATTAAGTAATGAGGCGTTAGAGGTTACACGTAGCTACTAGACAAGAGACACAGAAGATATACACGATCATAAGTAATAATAATAATTAATAATAATAATAATAATAATGAGACGATGACGATGGCAATAATAATATAGTAACCAGAATAATAAGTCTAATCATAATACGGTAATAATGAGAGAAGGAGAAGAATAATTGTTATAATGGCATATATATATAATCGTACACAATATGAGAGAAATGTCCGAAAAAACGGACGCCTCGCTGATATCGAGAGGATGCTGTCGAGGGATTCATCTCTCACGTATCCATATCCGTATATAGCTGCCGACCATATGCACACCTTTGAGTGGCATTAATGCATGTCAGCATTTGTCATTTAATTCTAGTGGCGACTTATGTGTGCGACAAACACACACAAAGTGTATTTCAAATCGCGAATAAAACTCACTGTTCGCTCTTTTAAATAACGCAATTAAATCGAAAAACTACTTTTCGTACTATTCGTACAAACATTACCGCAATATATTTGCGACACATCCATATAATAATAGCGTTGTAATAATTATAAGTGACGAGGGGAAGGGGGAGACCAATCGTCGTTCGAACACCCTCCGATCAGCGAGTTACTAAGTTTGCGTTTATACGGCGACGTTTAAATGCTCGTCGACGCTTTAATTTGCACTAATGTTCGAGATCCTGCCGCCTCTCGCCGAGACCCGGCGTCCTTTATCGAAGTAAGGATTCGCGCGCGAATCGACGACGGCTGTGAATAAATAAAGCATTATCTTAGAAAAAAACCACAATGCTCGCGCGTGGGAGCCGCGAGATAGACTTTTCTGAGGAGAGGGGGGGGGGAAGGGGTAAACAGCATCCTCCGCCCTCCCTCGCGTCTCCCCCGACTCCCGGACTAGACACAAAAAGGTACACATAAATAGAGAACAATATACATGTATTAACGCGCCCCGTTTTGGTTTCTTTGACCAAATCTAGCCCTTAATCGAGTGTCGCCTCGCTTGCGAATTAAGAGTACACGCGATCCCGTATTCTCACGCTCGCTGTTTCGCGCGCATCCAGAGATCCGTCAATCGCTCAAAAGTCATCTCGTGAAAATCACGATCGCGATCAAGAACTATCTAACAGCTGTGAAAAATCGCTTGCGGGTAAAGCGGGTACGGGAAATCGCTTTGGAAAAATGATCTATATGACCGTGATTATCCACGCGGTTGTGTAGAAACATATCCGAGATGGCGATCGAAGAGAGTCATTTTGGGAAAGCGATTTCAGCTATTCACAGTTATAGAGAATGTCCTTGAGATGCGCGTAGAATGAAAATTGAAAAGTAGTTTAGTAAGAGTAGATAATCGCTTTAAGATACAATTCTATCTAGGTCACCCGTTCGTACTGAATCTATTCACGATTAAAGAAGGCTGGATCAATGGGATTGCGCTGCTAAACAAACGTGAGAAACTTGACCCGCTTGTCTCGCGCCGGTTTCACTCAACCGCACTCGTCATCGCGTTCGCCTCCAATTTCCCCATGTTCGCTCTCTCTGCTAAGCATTTATCCTCTTTTGCGCGAAGAGAGCACGTAATATCGCGCACCAACGACGCGTCGGTTTGCACATAGACTAGATGCGTAGTTTTGTAATCTGACCTCAGATACGTTGACCAATTTTGCCGTTAATCCGTGTATCACATATACTCGTGTGCACCGTCCTTGAAGAATATGCAAAATATCTTTTCCCTCCGGCATTTCAAGAGTCTGAAGAAAATTAAATCCGTGCATAAATGTATAATTGTTTCTTCGATAATATAGATTCTCACACTGCTTTACAGGATAGAGGCGAAATGACGAATGTCGTAAGTATATGTATATGTTTTTTCTTCTATTTTAAAGAACATTACCGTTTGCATTGATAATCAATTGCATAATCAACGTCTACATTTCTCGAAACGTGCAATACCGATCGACGACAAAAAGCGTAAAATCAAACACGTGATGCTTGAGCGATTATGCGCTTAAATATTTGTATCTGACATATCATAAATGTGAAGTAAAAGTTATAAATATACGCGAAGATTAAAGAAGTATTTTTTTAATTTTTAATTGCTTTTAATTCCTATCAAAGAGACAAGAAACCCGTTCTTGAGAGATCCGCGTCACGTTCGCGCGCAAGAATCTCTCAGAGATTGTAAAAGGATCGATAGCCGTAAAGCAAAACGTCGTAAAACATCCTCTAGGACGGTGCACCTTTGCGGAGATTTGTCGAGAGTTAGAGAATTCTGCGAAAGCGCCTTTTTACTACTTAATAAGTACGTTTTATATAAAAAAAAAAAAAAAAAAAAAAAAAAAAAAAAAAAAAAAAAGAAAAAAAAAAGAAAAGGGAAGCGACACGTTACGCGCGTATCATCGGCACGTATGAGCGGCGATGGAGACCACCTGAATACTGACTAGCACAAGTGTTTTACATAGTTATTAGCACGCGGTATCGCTTCGCGATCCCTCCTCGAAATCGTGCTCCTCGCCTATCGTCTATCGATCGCTCCTTGTCACCCTCGGGGAGCACATACATACAGCCCCGGCCCAGGAATAAATACGTCTCTCGATGCTCTCGTCATAAACGGGGTAACATCTCTTTTAATTAAACTAGGCTTACTTTAAAGTATACATACACATCGTGCCCGTTCGAACTCTGTGAGTGCGAGCCCTGCCCCAATATCTTATATATCATCTCTTTTTACCGATCTTTCCGATTCCCGTATTCTATCGCCGTTGGTACACCTATCTCTCCGCATTTTAAACCCCCAAATCCTCGATCTTTTTCACGCGATTAATTCAGCAGTCAATTAATTGATATCTTCGCGAGCCTCGATAACAGTCAGACCCGTTTCTCGCTCTTACGAATTTCTGCGAAAAAAATCGATTCTAATCTCTTCTCCAGCTTTTTCTCTTTGCCTTTCCTTCGTTCATACTTTCACTATATTCTTCATCTCTCTCTCTCTCTCTCTCTCTTTAGTTCTCATCCACACATAACCACCTACTACTAAGCACTGTGTGTGAGTGTTTCTCTGAGGTTTCATTCTTTTATACTCCCCTCTATTTCTCTCTCTCTCTCTTTCGCTCTCTCCCATCCATTCACTTTCTTTCACATTTCGTTCGCGACCAGGAAGCGCGAGGTGCTGTCACGTGATCCACGTGTTCCCCGCGACGAGTCTTATCTCACGTAAGCGCGTCTCGAGAAGTCCGAAATATGTTCTTTTACGACAGCCCGCCATTTAACACCGCGCATTTTATTGATCGTTCTTCTAAGTGTACGTATACGTGTATGTGTGTGTGTGTATGCTTGTGTGTTTGTGACGAGTAGTTCAGTCTCACAGCCCGATATCGTCGTGACTAATCCGGTCATGGATGTACGTTAAGTAAAAAAAAAAAAGAAAAAAAAGAAAAAAAAAGAAAAAAAAATTGGCCAAAGTGCCCGGCGGAGGCATTCGACGCATCGTCAAATGTCATAATATAAGGAAAGTCATTTCTCTCTCTCTCTCTTCCTTTCGCATCTCGCTCTCTGCATCTCCTCTTCCCACGAGCTATCCTTTTTTATCTTGTCCCCCTTTTTACGCACGCGGACACCACGTGGTCCACACAAGCGCCCTCGCGTACATATACATATAAATCGACAAATATGTATGTACAGGACCCGCGACCGGTCACTGTGCGAGAGCCACGTAAGACCTAACACGTGCCCCGTCTCGTCTCCTCCTCCTTCCGTCCCTCCTTTTTTTTTTAATATTTTTAATATTTTTATATAAATGTTTCGCTTTCACTTTATATTATTGTTCACGTTTCACGAAAGCACGCTTGAGCACCGTTCAGTTCATGTTATAAATATACTCTTGCTGGAAATATAACTTCTTTTCTGAACAAAAAATATATAAGAGAGATTTACATTATACGCTACTCGCACAGTATATCGCAATCCCAATGAAATTAAATGTGTAAAGATGCGAATATATCGATGTAAACATTTACTTCGCGTGATATATTCGATATTTTTATTTACATAAATAGTACTTTCGCAGACATTTACATATGATATTGGCATAAAAAGATGAAAAATTACGTAAGATTGCGTGACAATTGCGAGAGCCACGTAAGACCTAACACGTGCCCCGTCTCGTCTCCTCCTCCTTCCGTCCCTCCTTTTTTTCACTGTTTTCTCATCTTATTCTTCCAATATCCTCGCGAGTCAAGTGATTAGAGGACTTTATATATCTCAAAGTGATTAGGAATAAAATTTCCTACTCTCGCGGCGTCTGTATCCGATGATCGTAGAGAAAAAAACGAAGGCAATAGCGCGACTTCGATCTCTCTCGTCCTCATTGTCAAATTTCTTTTTGAGTGTGTCAAATAAAATACACCGAGGATGTCTTTCGCTCCCGCGTCCTTGACCGCGACCAAGCGCAAGCATAGAAACGCGACGGAGAAGAAGCGCGGGAGGATGCAGCGAGCGCAGCGAGGAACGGAAGGATAATGAGAGGACTCGACGATCGTTAACATTGTACCCTTTTTTTTTTTCCCACCCTTTCTCTATTTCCCTTCGAGCTTTCTACACGCACAGTTCCACGGTTATGTATCGGACAGTCGAACGATTCTACCCACTTTTTCCTTCATATTTTATATCATTTACACGAAAGATAATGATAGCATATGAGATATGTAAGGATAACGTGCAAATCTCGTTTATACATGAATGTCTAGAAAGACATGCGTTTTACATACAAAATACTGAATTATTTGTTTCAGTTATATATTTACTATAGCAAATTTAAAATATATAAATTAATGTATGAATATAAAAAAAAAAAATTAAAAATAAATATTTTTTTCAATTTTATATGTTACTTATTTATCTAAAAGAAAAGTACATCTTTAATATTATTGTATTTTATGTAAAAAAAGATTGATCTATTTTAACCGCAAAACTTTATAAATGACTTTAATTCATACATATATAAGCTGCGTTATAAAAAGAGAGCGCGACATTTATTCCAGATCATTTCATAAATTACATTTTATCATACTTTCACGGTTATGTATCGGACAGTCGAACGATTCTACCCACTTTTTCCTAATTATCTCTCGCGCGACCTTTCTTGTTCCTTCCTTCCTCCATTATCCCTTTTCTCTTCATTCATTTTCACACGTATACGCTTCGTTTCTTTCACCCTTTCTCTCTCATACGCACATACACACTCCTCGCAACTACGCTTTCTCGCTCTGTTGGAGCTTTTTGCTGCCGGCCTGACGGTTGTTGTTGGGCTTGCTCTTCAGAGAGGTCTGCTTGGCTTGCGCGTGCTGACGTTGCTGTTGCTGCTGCTGCGTTGCCGGATTCGCCGCTCCCGAAACGGCCATCTCGATCGCTCGAGTGAGATCGTGTATGCGCGACGGTAGACGTTGAAGGAACGGCTGCCGTTGGCCCTTGGTTCCTCCATGAAAGATGCCGCTGCCGCCGATGTGACTGTTGATGTTGTTGTTGCCACCGATAACGCCCGGTATCTGGCCGGGTCCCCGCTTGTTGTAAAGATGACCCGCCGGTATCGGCATCGGCAGCTGTACCACCGCCGCAGTACGTAGCAGCCGATGGCGACGATGATGATACGGCACCGCTACCGCCGCCGCGTCCGCTGCAGCGGCCGCAGCCGCAGCCACCGCCGCCGCTGCCGCTGCCGCCTGTTGCTCGTCCTACGCCGCCTTGCTCTTGTTCGTCTTGAAGCTGACCTGGAGCACGCGGTTGCCCAGAGTGTAGCCGTTCAGGCTCTGTATGGCCACCACCGCCTCCTCGTAATTGGTCATCGTCACAAAGCCGAAGCCCTTGCACTTGTTCGTCTGCAGGTCGCGTATGACCTTGACCGATTGGACGGCGCCGAACGGCCCAAACAGCTGCCAGAGCACGTTCTCCTCGGTCTCGGGCGCGAGGTTGTACACAAAGATGCACCAGCCGGCGCCGTTCATCGTGTTACCGGGCAGCATCGAGTTCGCGAGGAGGTCGCCCGCCAGCGGACTGTACCTGGAACACGGTGGCCGGGCCGATGATTAAACGGACATCGTCGCCCGATGGCGGCTGACAATGACGGCCGCGGAGGCGACGAATAGCCGAACGAACGATGCTGAAACGTGATTACTCTTCGAATAACGTTTATTCGCAGTAATACCAAATCGAAGACGAATCGGTCTCTCGCGGATCGAAAATATAAAAGTGTATTTTCTGGCTACAATAATTTAATATAAATTATATTATCAGAAATGTTTCCTTTTTTTGCGGAGAATTTTATAAAATTTGACATTTATGACAGAGAGAAATATTTAAGATTAGAATTTAGTGAATACAGATATTTTAATATAATGATGATACGTGATTTATAAATATTTTTATAAATTTAATATTTTTAATATTTTTATATAGTGAACGTGTTTCTTGCAACGCAAGCCAGTTCCTTGGATGACATTCTACAGTAAAAGTTAACGATAATTCATCATTAAATGTGCGACAGTATTATTCAATAGATAAACGAGATTTTAGAAAACAGGGATAAAGTATAAAGTACGTCCCATACGTGGGCGCTCATAAAAGTTAAGGGATATTTACAGTTGTAAAAAGTATCTACGTACCTACTTGACGTCACAAGCCGCGTTAAAACAGGGCACATCTCGGTGAGTACTCAGTATAATGCCGAGGCCACAGTAATTACGTATGCATTCGTCATGAACGTTTGTTTTGCTTGTTAACACGTTATCGCGAAGTAAACATGTATTTTTTTTTACGTACGTGTACGCAAAATTGTGTGCATTGGTTGGTTTTACGACCGCGTGCACATGTCTGATTTAATTCTGTATGTGAGTGTAAGTTGTGCGAGTGTGTATGTGTGAGGGATTGAAAAAAAAAAAAAAAAAAAAAAAAAAAAAAAACAAAAGGACCAAAAAGA